ATCTACTTTATAAAAATATTATAATAATAAAACTAAGTAATAAATTAGACTATAAAAAACTTAGACTATTTAAAATTCTTAAGAAAAAATTAGATATTAACTATAAACTCTTATTACTAGATATAATATATATTTATCCAGTTTTTTATATCTTATTACTTAAAAAAGTACTAGATAATATACTAGACTAAGAGTATCTAATTAAAGTCTATAAAAAAGAATTTAAACTAAAAGAGATTCTAAAAAAAAAAGTTAGAAATAGATAAATATTCTATCTAGTTAAATAGAAAGAATATACTAATAGTAATAATATATAGAAACTAGTTAAGTATCTAAAGAAGTACTAATACTTAATTTACTAGTTCTACTAGAAGGGAAAAAGGGGATTAAGTTAGAAAAATCCTCCCTAAAACCTAATAAATTTAAATCTATCTCAGGGGTAATCCCTAAGAACTAGACTTTCTCTAAAGTATATTATTCAGAAGCTTTAAAGAAGTCAAGGGCCTGATCTAAAGATAGTTGCTCTTTCTTATTAAGAAGAATATAGCTAGGATATATAAGGGAATATATATAGTTAGATATAACTAGTACCCTGTTATAATAATAACTATTTTATATATACTTATTATATTAAGATAACTTTCTATCTAGAAGAATAAAATACTCTTTTTTTATCTTAAAATACAGAGTATATAGTATATCAGCTGGAAGACTAAATATCTAGATAGTAGTAGTAAGGAGAACTTATTTATAAGTCTTAGGATATACTGACTTATAGATATAGTTAGATATAATAAATATTATAATATAGCTATTATATATATAGAAGGGAAGAACTTACTAAAATTATATAGGATCTTAGGGATAAGACTAATAGAGAGAGGGTATTATATTATAAATAAAGACCTCTATAATAGGTTATATAGTTATATATACCCTACTATCTAAAGAACAGAAGTAATAGGAGTATTATACTCCTATTATAGGATAAAGAAGGATTATCAGGAGTAATATACTCCTTATACTCTATAACTAGTATATATATATATTTATTTCTTAGATAGAAATACTTCTTTAGATAGTTATTAATATAATTATCTATATATCTATTACTACTAGCTCTATAATACTTATATATTAATAGTAATTTATATTATATAGTCTAAGATAACCTAATTATACTACTCAGAATAATACTCTGTTTAGTTTAACCCTAACCTACCCTAGACCCTGTTCAGTATAGTTATCTAACTGTTATATCTAGCTATTAATAAAGCCTTCTTATAGTACTCCTAGACTATTAACTAGCTAAAATATCAGTATTATTAGCTTAAGGCCTTATAGTATATATTCCGTAAGATAGCTAATTAGTCAGGAGTTAAGTATAATAAAGAGATTAATCTCTTATATATAAGTAATAACCTATAGTAATAGGCTATTAGTTACTAGCTAAAGGAAGATCTTTAAATTATCTGGAAACTGCTACTAATTACTTATAATAGAGATATATAGAATATCTTATAGGAGATCTAGTAAACTATCTTCTCAGATAATCTGCTAGCTAGTTATTAGATTATAGAAGTTAATAATAATAAAGGTTAATTTAAATTATTTATTATAGTCTGTATTAAGGAGGAAGGAGAGAAGGAGCCCGGGTCTATAGTAATTAGTAATATTAATAAGGAAGAAGGAGAGAAGGAGTTACTACTAACTAATAAGGTTATTATATATAATATATAAGTTTCCTTAATACTAGCCTGAGGTCTGGAGAGCCCTATAAGATCTAGGAAGAAGTAGAAGTTATCTACTATTATAGTAAATATATCTATTAAAGATACTAGGAAGAAAACCTAATCTATTAAGACTAGTACTAATCTAGCTATTAGCTATTTTATAGATATCTTAGCAGTTTATTTTACAGAGGCCTAATACTATTCAGGCTTAACTGATCTTAAGAGAGCTATATAAAATATTTTAGCTTATACTAAAGGCAGAAGTAATAGATTATATCTAAAATTAATATTATAGCTTTATAAAGATTATATAAATCTAGTAATATAGAATTTACTTCTATTAGATAAGAATAAGTAGATTTTTATTAGGGATATAATTAATCTGAAAGTTAAATAGTTAGTATTAGGCTAGTAAAGTAAAGCTATTATAAAGTTATCTTCTAATAAAGATAGGGTTAATAGCTAGGTAGTATAGTAGCCTTATAGCCTTTCTCTATAAACCTCTACTTAATACTAACTTCCCCTAGCTATAACTCCTTAATAAAACTATAATATTACTTCTAATTCTATTTTTTTACTAGTTCTTAATAAATATATATATTTAACTTTAGAATTATACTTTTATACTAAGCAGAAGCTAGTATAAGTATATAGAGTTAAGTCTAATTAAAGATAGTAATATTATTATAAAGTATATCCTATAGAGTTTACCTACTAAGCTATATAAAATTAAATAGTATAATTATAGTAAAAATAATACTAATTTAATTATAAATATTATATTTAGAGCTACTATCTCTTATTATTTTCTATCTATATTTATATATCCTAATAGACTACTTAATAATTATATAAATTTATAAGTACTATAAGTTAAATATCTCTTTATTAGTTTCTAGCTTTCTATTTAACTTTATCTACTAAGGGATATAATATAACCTATTATATAGGATTAAAATTCCTCTTCTTAAGCTGAAGTCTATATCTATAATATAAAATTAATTATTCGGGATTTTAAAGCTATAGGTTAAGACTTAGATAAAAAGAGTAGAATTATATATTAATCCCTCAGTCCCTAGTATTATATATAAAAAGAGACTATCTAGGGTTATTATAATAAGTATATTCTAAGAGATATAGCCCTTATAAGACTACTATCTCTTCTAAGAGTTAAGAGGGATAAAAGCTTTAATATAGGTACTATTAATAGCTCTAATAGCTCTACTGAATTAACTAAACTTTAGGTTTAATTCTACTATTAGTAATAGGTATATTAGATCAGGCTAATAAATAAAATACTTATATAGCTACCTTAATAGATCTTTAAGTTTATAGAAGATATATAATACTAAAGCCTAACTAACTTTAAACTTTAAGGCTATATTATATTATAGTTTATTATATATAAATAGCTATAGGATAATTATTACTTTCTACTCCAGAGACTAATATCTTAAAGCTAAAACTATTATATTATCTATAAGCTAATAGTATAACTTTTAGAAGGTTATTTTTATTATTCAGAATAGCTATTTAAATATATACTCTAGCCCTTAAAGAAGCTAATTATAATAAGCCTTTATAGCCTTAGGGTTCAGTAGATTATTATTATTATTAACTAGAGGTATAGTCTTACTTTAAATATATAAGCCCTTGAGGGTACTAATTTAATTATATTATATATAGGATTACTTCTACTTCCTTTACCTCCTCTTCTATATAATTAGAAGAGTTAGAATAGAAGTAAATATAGCTAGTTTTTCAAGAGGTACTATTACAGGCTACTAAGTATAGCCTATAAAATAGCTGCAGAACTATTAGAATTTATAAAGATTAAAAAGATATTCTGTTTTTAAATATAATATCTTTTTAATCTTCTGTAACAGTTGGATAACTTATATTAGACAGGGTCTAGGGTAGGTTAGAGTTAAACTAATCAGAGTATTATTCTGAGTAGTATAATCAGGTTATCTTAGGCTATATAATATAAGTTACTATTAATATATAAGTATTATAGAGCTAGTAATAATAGGTATATAGATAATTATATTAATAACTATCTAAAGAAGTATTTCTATCTAAGAAATAAATATATATATATAATAGTTATAGAGTATAAGGAGTATACTACTCCTAGTAATCTATCTTTATCCTATAATAGGATTATAATACTCCTATTACTCCTATCCTTCAGACAGTAGGGTATATATAACTATATAATCTATTATAGAGGCCTTTATTTGTAATATCTTCTAAGATATTAAAAGGCTCGGTATCTAGATCTATTCCGGGCTTCTGAGATACCCCTGTAAAAAGATATATTATTATAAGGATATTATTTAATTCTGGGTCCCCTGCTTTAAATTATAAAGGATTACTAGCTATTTAAGGGAAGGTGTGCCCAAGTTGTGTAAAATTTCGTAAAATTCCCCCTTTGCGCATCTGGGCCTAAAACTACTTGTACCTATACAAACTGTCCTACCTCGAGCAATTCTCCACTCTCAGCTCAGACGGTGAAGAAGGCGGGGAAGGGAGAGTCGCCCCACTCACTCCACCCAATCCATTGGGCTGGTTTTGTTCATTTTTCATCCAGCTGATTCGTTGACATTCTAATGTAATAAATAACCCTCGAACGCAGACAAACAAGTGACGTCATGAGAGTGAAAAAGCCCATGCAGATTTGTTGATAATCTTAGTTGTTATCTTGATAAAACCTCCATATAGTGTTATGCTATCGCGTAGTACCTGTGCTAGCCAATCTAAGCACTAACGACCCAGAATTTCCAAAGGCCAGTTGGAGTCACTGGCAATCAGACCTCATGTCTCGCTAGAAACTGAACCCGGGGAGTGGCTTTATTAGTGAGTCGGGGCCCACTTGTCAAATTGGCCGGGTTAGATAAATTACTTATTTTTCGGCATCCGTAGAAAAAGACATCCTTTTCACCCTTTTTATTTTTCGCTTTTGAAAATCCCTTATTATGAAAGATGTGTCTTTCGCAACGTTACGATAGCTACAATAGGTCAATTGACTAGCCGTAAACGTGAACCATTTGATCAAATGAGAATACACACAAAACTCAAAACCTCCTTTTCATAGCTGTTGTGGAAGGTTGTTAGATTTTGGTGTGGTTGGCAGTCTGCATTTCGAGCTCGCTAACAGCCGTGGTGTTGTTCGTTTTCCCCCAACACATTAGACTCGACATGTAGTCTCATAGGTGCCAAGTCATCACTGCCGGACCGCTTCTGTGGCGTCGTGGATACGACTCCCTAGATCCTTGTCGACCTGTGCGAACAACTCTGCGCAGCGTTATTACCTGGCCGGTCACAAAATGCAAGGGGCTGAATGTCTTACCGTACACCGCGGATCTGAGCCGGCTGTCTGTCACGCCGGCTATGTGGGCAGCCACATTTGAAATGAATCTCTCTTGATGGCCAGGTTCTCGCCCTATGACATCCCACAAACTAGTCGCCTGCTCAAAGTCCAGGGCCGTCACATTGCTGGTGTAGCTCAGGACCTGGCCAGTCCACCTCTCGTGTTCGGTCAAGGTCGAAAGCGAACCACCATCCCTGCTGCCTACCTTGAAGGCCATGGGTTTGAGCTGAGAGCCCACGTAATTTGGTTCATCGTTGTAATTGTTGGTGAAGTTCATAAACCCGTCCCGTTGATACGGGCAGTGAACAGGCACCTTGGCATGGTTTGTAGGAAGCATCTGATAATTCGTCCCCAATCGATAGCGTGCAGCGTCCGGATATGCAAACATGCGAGCTTGTAGCACTGGATCCAGATTAGTGTTGAGAGTACATCAAAGAGCAGGGTATCTTACTAGGATCCGCAGAAGGCGCCCATCCGGGGACCATTGTCGAGGGCGAGAAAGCCGCCTGCTCAATATCTGCGAAATAATTGTTTGGCTATTGGGTGAGCAATATTTCCAGACATTTCAGACGTCCTGGTACTCACGTTCTCGTTAAGAGTCAAGACACCAATTTGCCTCAGGGGAACATCCTTGTGAGGCCAGACCTTGGTCATGTCAAATATATTCCACTTGTACCCCTCGGCCTGTTTGGGTGTCAACACTTGAACATAGACGTTCCATTTCGGGTAGTCCCCCTTGGCAATTGCGTTATAAAGGTCATCAACCAGGTGGTCAGGGTTCTCGCCTGCAACTTTGGTGGCGGTTTCACGATCAAAGTTCTTGATGCCTAGCTGTGGTTTGATATGCACCTTTACGTAGCTGAATGTACCATCCTGTGCGGGGCCTGTTAGTCGGTGAAAATTTTTCAGGGACTTAAGATTACTCCCACCTGTTTGGTGAATTTGTAAGTATGGCCACTGAATGCGGGCATCATTCTCAGCGATGCCGGCGTTCCCCGGTCACTGAACAAGTGCATAAGTTCATGGATCCCTTCTGGGTTCCCAATATGAAAGCTAGCCCATATTAGGCTCTGATTGGTTCCTGACGTGAATAGCTGTCAAGACTTACTCCCAAAACTGGCAGAGTTAGCACGGTGGAGCCTGTAAGATGTGACGCAAAGCCACTTACCATATCAGCGTCGGCGGTGTTTGTCCTTGGATTTCTCTTATGTGACCGATTGAGTGAAGGAAACTTGATGGGGTCCCGGACGAAGAACACGGGCTAAAAATCATGGTCAACATTCTCGAGCGAGACTAAAAAGAACTTCATAGCTTACTGTGTTATTAAAAACCCAATCCAGGTTGCCTTCATCTGTGTAAAGTTTCATAGCCCACCCATGAACATCACGAACCGTGTCCGCCGAGCCTCGCTCGGGACCTACCGTCGAAATGCGTACCAGGCATTTTGTTTTTTTCCCAACCGTGTTAAGGAAGCTAGCAGAGGTTATGTCGCCGCAATCATGGGTAACCTCAAACTCTCCATATGCGCTAGAAGTAATTGAGCAAGCGAGCTCCCCGGGGGGCTTTGTTCAACATACCCAGCAGCCTTCGCGTGAACAACTCTGTAGTATGTCAGTGACATGCCATGTCTTGCATTTTAAGATAGATTGGCGCTTAACCTTTCAGGGATACGCTCTCTTGAGAAATGGGCTAATGTCTCGATGAGCTGCGTGTCTTGTAACAACACAAGGCCGCCGCCATCAGCTCCGTTACGAAGCTGGACGCTGGTATCGTCTCTTGGCTGGGGGCAGCCTGCGTGTGTTTAGCCAATGTTGTTTTATGAATGTTCAACGGAAGCCTGTACCTTCAGCCAGTGTATAGTAGGAAGGCATCTTGAGTAGAAGCTGTGATTGCGTGTGGCACTGCAAGTTCTATTCAAAGGTCATGACCTCCCTGGCTAAGCGGTCTGAGCTGCTCATTATATAGAAGACTCTTCATATTTAGTCCTTCCAGTCTACGCTCATTGTCTACATAGTCAGACTACCTTCTGAGACAGATTCCACAGAAAACTTCCCCGTGAATGCCTAATACTGAATACAATGGGTGTGATTGGCTGGATGCGTTTTTATTCATGTACTGAGAGTTGCGGGCAAGCTGAACACCACCCAGCGTGGGGAACACGCACTATGATTCGGTGGATAGTATTTCTAAGAATGGCTGGGATGGCTTAGCTCCTCCACCGATCTACCACATCGGTTATCTCATGCCGAATTACCCCCCGGCAAGCTGAGCTCAGACAGACTAACTGAAATTGCTTCAGGTGTCTGTAGCTATCCGGGCTACCCCTCAGACATTGTTGTCGTTTTCAGTATGACTACTCAGCGAATGAGACTCACATGTTATTATGGGCATGGGTTCCGGGACATCCGGTAGGACGATACTTCAGCTTATGCAGAGCTTATTGCCAGAGGGAGACGATGGTTTGGTGTGAATAACGCTACTTTGGGATGTAGGCCTAATATGGAAGGGCTAGTAAACGAATAGGAATTAAGCCAGGGGTCGGTCCAGCATTCCTCATAGCGCGTTAATGTTTCCCTTTGAGTGAACAGATACACCTGGCATACCCGATAGACTATACCTCAGCCAAGGTAAAGCTTATTGCTTGAGGAGAGACGAGAATGTATTATAGGCCCAATGTAGAAGGGCTAGTAAACGAATAGGAATTGATTGGGGGGGCTATCCAGCATTTCCCCTCTTCGTAAGAGGCATGCATCCAGATTACTCGGGAGGAGAATAGGTAACTGCTCGATTTGTGGGTGTATAAATATGGCTGATGATGCCGCGAGAGCATACTCAAATATCTCACAAGAGCTCCTTCAGTCAGAGCAGCATCTTCTTTCTTTACACCTGAATACATTTCATTCAATAGACCCTTCAATCACACACCATGTCAGTCCAAGACGGCGCTCGTTTCGACTTTATTGTCGTGGGTGGTGGCACAGCTGGCAATATCGTCGCCGCACGCCTAGCTGAGAACCCGGACGCCAGGATTCTGGTCGTTGAAGCTGGCATTGGCAACTCTATTGATAATGAAGAGATCCGCACGCCCGCGCTTGCAATGGACATCCGCGGCAGTCAGTATGACTGGGCTTACAAGACCACCATGGTCAAGCGCGATGACTATGAGCGTATCGAGAAGCCCAATACCCGCGGAAAGGCCCTTGGGGGCAGCTCTTCGCTTAATTATTTTTCATGGGTGCCTGGATCTAAGGGCACCTTTGACATGTGGGAGGAGTACGGTGGAAAGGAGTGGACCTGGGATCCCCTCGTTCCTTATCTGAGGAAGAGTGTGACCTACCACGACGATGAGGGCTTGTATCCGAAGGAACTCAAGAAGATTGGTTCCGGCGGCCCCATTTCAATTGCTCATGCCAACCTCATGCCGGAAATGAGCCACTTCCGTGAGCTTCTCACCAGAGCTTGGAAGTCCACTGGTGAGCCTATTTCCGAGAACATATTCGACGGCGAGATGCGTGGCCTTGTGCACAGTGTCAACACAATCTACAAAGGCCGACGATCAGGTAGCTTCCTCGCGGTAGCTAACACCAAGAACGTTACTATCCTTCCTCAAGTCATTTCGAAGCAGCTGATTATCGATAACGCTGAGCGTGCCGCCAAGGGAGTCACGGTGATCACTGGCTCCGGACAGGAGCTTAGCTTCTACGCTACCCGTGAAGTCATCGTGTCTCAGGGTGTCTTTGAAACCCCCAAGCTTTTAATGCTCAGCGGTATCGGTCCTGCTGCTGAGCTGGTTAAACATAGTATCCCACTGGTTGTTGATTCGCCCCATGTTGGTCAGCATCTGCTGGATCATCCAGGCGTACCTTTTGTCCTTCAAGTCAAGGATAACTACTCTATGGATAGTCATGTCCTCCGAAAAGGTCCTGTGCGTGACAAGGTCCTAGCAGCTTACTCCAAGAGCCACACTGGTGCCATGGGGTCACCCTTCCTCGAGATGATTGGGTTCCCCCGTATTGACAAGTACCTGGAGAAATCTCCCGAGTACCGCGCGGCAAAGGCTTCGAATGGTGGCCTTGACCCCTTCTGTCCGTATGGCCAGCCTCATTTCGAGCTTGATTTTATCCCATTATTCGGAAGTGCCTTCCAATGGCACTTCCCCCATCCCAACAAGGGCAGCTACATGACTGTCATGGTCGACCTTGTCAGGCCGGTTTCTGAAGGTGGTGAAGTTACTCTGAACAGCGCCGATCCCTTGGAGCAAGCCTCGATTAATTTAAATTATTTCAACAATGATCTTGACATCATTGCCATTCGCGAAGGCATCAGGTTCGCCTACGACGTTCTAAAGAATGGCGATGGGTTCAAGGATATTGTTGAGGATGAATATCCGTGGGAAATGCCGCTGCATGATGATGAGGCAATGAAGAGAACCGTTCTGGACCGTTCTCAGACTTCGTTTCACCCCTGTGGCACTGCTCGCCTGTCCAAGAATATCCAACAGGGTGTCGTGGACCCCAGTCTAAAGGTGCATGGGATTAAGAACCTCCGTGTCATCGACGCGTCCGTCATCCCAGTCATTCCGGACTGTCGCATTCAAAACTCCGTCTATATGGTGGCCGAAAAGGGTTCAGATGCCATCAAGCGCGACCACGCAGATCTCTACCGTTAGATGAATGATCAGCTTGGGCGCTTATTGGGAAGTATATATAGACCCAGATCTTGATAGTTTCTGCTTTCTTGGGCGCGATTTAGGCGCATATGCCGAGTACTGCACGATAATAAACCCTAAATAATTGATCTTCTAAGGATTAGGAAGTGATTTTGAAGCATCTAGATAAATTGCTTGTGGGCCAAGCACATATTGTAGATGTCTAGGTGACTATGGGGTACCTGTCTAATGGTCTTATGGGATCGTACTCCGACCGTTGGCGCGGTTGACCGTGAGAACAGTCGAACGCTTGTCTGTCCCTGGTGCTGGGATTATTGTAGGGAGTGGGGAGGATCGGCCACAGCTAGGGTAATCACACTGTGTTTTTGACTAACAGCAGAGCCACCGCACAATCACGCGGGTGGGTTTCTGCATGGAGCGCGCCAGCACAAAAACATAACCTGGGTTTCGATGAGACTCCACTCGTAAGGCTATCCAAGGTATTATAGCAGCAACAGGTAGTAGCAGTATCTGCACAAGGTCGACTGCTGGACCGTCTGTAGCAGCCTTATGCGTATATCGAGTTTTCCCCTCATTTCCTTCGACGCCCAAGAGTATCCCTTCCTTTCCTCTCAACATTATTCCGAATCTCCCATCCCGCGACACCCATCTCAACCAACAATTACACATTGAAGAAAGAAGCATTTATAGTAAACCAGATAGACACTTTGGTTTAGTAGGTAGAAACGAATTTTAACGCCAAAACCACACCGAGATAATAGCCTTTCCCCGTCAAACAGGGCAGGTAACCCCAGACAACAACCTAAGAAGTAGGTCACCTGCTTCGTACGACCAGTATACAATTACCTGGATCTATACGCTACCCATAAAGATAGCCGCAGCCCGCGCCATACTAAACGACGTCCACCAAGACCTGCCCAGGCATACGAACGACACCAACACCTACACGCTCGGCAGCATCAAGGGCTACAATATCGTCGCTGCGTGTTTGCCGACGACCCAGTACGGAACGAACAACACAGCGAACATACTGACCCACCTTATACATACCTTCCCATCGATCCGCCTTAGTTTAATAGTAGGAATCGGAGGTAGAGTACCGAGCAAGGTCGATATACATTTAGGCGATATCATTGCCGGGACGAAGGTAATACAGTACGATCTAGGGAAGATCATCAGAGACAGACAGATTCAGCGCACTGCGATCCCGAAGAGCCCGCATCACCTACTCGGCACAGCCATATCGTCCCTACAAGCAAGTTATAAGTACGACGGTAGCCGAATCCCGCTTATATTAGAGGGAAAGTTCGACGGACACTCTAAGTATAGCCCCCCAATCACAGCAGACCGCCTCTTTTTATCAGTATACGATTATATATATACAGCACCTAGCTGCGATAAATGCAACTATTCGAAGCTGGTGCCTCGAAGTAAGCGGAGTACGGATAACCCGATAATATATTACAGTACGATCACCTCAGATAACCAAGTTATAAGGAACAGCACCCAGAGAGATATCATCACTCAGCAACTGGATACTATCTGTTTCGAGATAGAGGCTGCTGGTCTGATAGATATTCTCCCCTGCCTACCTATCCGGGGGATTTACGATTATTCTGATTCTTATAAGAATAAGGAATAGCAGAGATATACCGCAGCTACCGCGGCTGCATATACGAGGGAGTTACTAGGGGTACTCCCTATCGCTGAAATACAAACGAAGGTCACTCCGGCGCCGAATTCTTATAAGTTAAGTCCAGTGTTTCCAGGCTATACTCTCATCATAACGGATTACGCCTAGCTTAGTATAGATATCGAGCGCATCCTAGAAATAGGCAGCAAGGATAGAACCCCCATACTATCTCCAATACAACCCACCACGTTATCATACAGCCTCAAAATACTGACGTCAATATATTATAGTACAGACTTCCTTCCAAGTTACCTTTAGTCTATAAGGCATGCCCGTATCAGATAAGTTTATCGATAGACCAACCGACAGGGCTGCCTTTTACCACAGCAGCCCCCTACCGAACAACGGAGGGTATATGTTTTATATAGGCTTAGCAGCATCAGCAAGACGCAGCTGGCTATCGACTTCACCCGTTATTACAAGGCCGCCTTTAGTGCAATCTTTTAGCTAGATAGGCGGTCGGAGGATCAATTAAGGCAGAGCTTCGCCAGATACCTTAGCAGAATCCCTGAATTTCAGACCGCCAGCCACAACTATAATATAAGCCTTAACAGTAAGGAGGATCTTAATATTACGGTAATAAAAGTAATTAAGTAGCTCGCTAGACCGAGTAATACTTAATAGCTACTGATTTTTAATAATATTAATCAAGATCAGCAGTAAGGTAGTATAACAGAGATATATAATATCCAGCAATATTTCCCTGGAGACTATAGTTCAGTCTTAATAACAATACGATTATTACGCTTACAGCAGCTGGATAGCTCAAAGCATTTAACCTATATTAACTCAGACCAGAGCAGGGCTATTCTACAGATATAGTATAGAAAAGAGCTGTATAGGTATAACTCCCGGTTATAATTCAGTTCTTATTATAGTACTAACTTTGGTTCTAGATTAGTATTCAGATTATAATACCCTTCTCGAGTTATTACAAGGTCTTCTACTAGCTTTAGCATAAGCTATATTATACTTACGCAAGATAGGTATAAATATAGTAACCTATATCCAGATTTATAACTAACAATAGCAGAAGCTTATAGGATCTGATAATCCTCTAACGGACTACTACTAAGGAAGTATTACTACTATATAGGCAGTATCTCTTAATATAATTAAAGATAAAAGTATAGATACTATAAATATATTATAGCTGTAGGTATACCTTAATAATAAGCAGTTCTGGTATAGTTTACTTAAAGTAGCTAAATCTGCGGACTCTGAAGAGCAGTAGCTATCTTAGCTGTTTTGTATAGTAAATAATATAATCCATTTTACAGATACAATAAGGCTTCTGCTCTGTTATTTAATAACCTAGGCTCAAGTAGAACCAAGCAGGAGTTACACTATACACCCGGTAGTATATCAATAGGTACTATATCTGGACAGTGTGACGGTTGGGCGACTTACACTGGACGGGGTCTAGGGTAGGTCAGGGTTAAACTAATCAGAGTATTATTCTGAGTAGCACGATCAGGTTATCTTTAAGCTATATAATATGAGTTACTGTTAATATATAAGTATTATAGAGCTAGTAATAATAGATATATAGATAATTATATTAATAACTATTTAAAGGAGTATTCTATCTGGTGAATTAAATATATATATATACTAGGGGATTATTAGTACTTAGTAATAATTCTTTATCCTGGATTATTAGGATTATTATAAGTATTATAAATTATATTATTATATATTAAAGTTATATAGATTACTCTACTTTTTCTAACTAATTACTAGTAGATTATTAGGATCTTATAATAATCCTAATAATTCAGAATAATAGATTATTACTAAGTATTAATAATCCTCTAGTATATATATATATTTATTTTACTAGATAGAATACTCTTTTAGATAGTTATTAATATAATTATCTATATATCTATTATTACTAGCTCTATAATATTTATATATTAATAGTAACTTATATTATATAGCTTAAGATAATCTGATTATATATGACGGTTAGGTTGACTTACACTGGACGGGGTCTAGGGTAGGTCGGGGTTGAACTAATCAGAGTATTGTTCTGAATAGCACGATCAGGTCGTCTTAGGCTGTGCAATATGAGTTACTGTCAATGTGCGAGTATTGTGAAGCTAGTAATAATAGATATGTAGATAATTATAATTCGTAATATAAGGTCCCCTCTTTATTAGTTATATCCTTAAGATTATATTCTGCAGCTTGTTAGTAAGTCTTTTCTAATTTAATCCTATATTCCCCTTATAGTCTGTAATAATATCTAACTGTATATAGAAAACTTCTTATAAGAAGATCCTTTAGTATAATACTCTTATTAATACTATCTTACTAAATCCTTTAGTAATACGGTCGGAGTATAGCTATTGTAAATCCTATAGTTATAAATACTTCAGATCGGAGGGTTCTTTATCTTATTATTTTTACTGTATTAAAAATAATTAGCTGTATTATAATGCTCAGGGCCTTATACCAGGCTAGCTGAGGTGTATTATCGATCAGTATAGTAAACTGGAGTCCGAGCTGGAGGCTGTAGAGGAGGAGTATTATTATATAGATATAAAAATCTAATATCTTTATTAATAAAAGAAATTATAGTTAGATAAGATAATATAGGCGGTATCTTATAGTATTAATAGTATAGAGGAACTGGAGTATATTGAGTAAAAGGAGGCGGAGGAGGCAGCCTAAAAACAGACCTTATCTCTAGCTATACCTTCGTTCGAGCCTGTGTTCTTAGAGATCGAGATTAATCCGGTATTTCTTCAGGAGGGTATAGAACTATCTTCTTCTTAGTTTATTAGGATAGGTATTTCTAATCCCGGTAATATTACTAAATAAGCTTCTGATAATCCTTTAAATACTTAATAGGTTCCTAAGTATTATTATTATTAGTATATTCTTTCTATTTTACTAAGTAAAAGATTTATCTATTCCTAACTTTCTTTTTTAGAATTTTTTCTAATTTAAATTTTTCTTTATAGACTTTAATTAGGTAATCTTAGTCTAGTATATCCTTTAATACTTTTTTAAATAATAAGATATAAAAAGTTAGATAGATATATATTATATCCGGTAATAAGAGTTTATAGTTAGTATCTGATTTTTTCTTAAGAACTTTAAATAGTCTAAGTTTTTTATAATCTAATTTATTATTTAGTCTTATTATTATAATATTTTTATAGAGTAAGTAGATCTTATCTCCCTCCTCTAAGATTAGTTCTTCTAATCTGTTTTTATTATAATATTTTTTTATTCTTTATTAGATAAATTTAAGTTCTGTTTTTATTTCTATATATAATAAGTATAGTATTTCTTT